CCTCTTCCACCTCTGCAGCCATACATCAGTAGCATCTCAACTGGCCATGAACAAAAGCTGCAGGGCACATTCATCCTCAGAAAACAGCAGCCTCACTTCTTTCATATCTTGAGGGACCATCGCTGCGACTCTTGTCTGGGCACACATGCCAAAAGCAAGCGTGCCTGAGCTATAGAGGCCTGCCTCAGCTAGTTTTGTATTGTTCAACCAAAATATTTTAGCACAGAAATGAAATGAAAACTCTCTAAGCAGCCGCTCCTTGCATGCAAAGCTGGTTCTACTGGCCTCACGATGGGGAAACTAAATCCACAACCTCCACCTCCCAGTCCTTCTATTGCTATGTGCTGTAAGACCCACAGCATGGGAGAAGCAACAAATCAACGTCAGACTGAAGGACTGGTGAAGTCCTCAGAACCGAGATGCAGTTTCACAACAGTTCAGAAGGCAAATTGGCCATACTGCATTTTAGGACGATGGACAGGGTGGGGAAAAAAGTGAAGAAAACTCAGACACCTCACAGATCAACTTTTATGGAACAGAAGATACCTGCTGAGAGTACTTCCTTCTTACTCCTCTCCTCCCACTGAGGCTCAGTGACTGGCAGTTGAGAACTGCTCTGGAATGTCCTACAATAGGACTAAATTGCTTTTTTATGCTTTTGTCTTTGATAGCACAGTTGTAAATAGTTCCACTGTATGACGTACGCTTTCAAATATCACTAGATCTTTTGGCTGTGAATTCCAAGAAATGCATCTCTCCAAATATCTGACCCATATCTGAGAATCTGACGCCTTCCACATGTTCAGTCTGTCTAAAAATACAAAGTTACAAAAGTTAACAGCACCTCAGCATTAGAGAGCTGACTTTCAACCTCTGCTTACCTGCACTGTTGTGGGCTGTCCCAAGAAAAGTACTTGTACCTGCTTCAAACCAACCCTCCACCAGGTTAAGCTTCCTTTAACTACTATCGCAGGGTTTGGTGAACAACACTTGAGCATTAACTTTCTTTGCTGTTTCCATAATTCCTTAAGCCTCTCATCCTGGTTTTTCACTTTCTCCTGTCCAAAGTGAGGAGCCTCAGCTCTCGCCTTGACTGCTCTCCTCCCTGCACTGACACCACAGGGTTGAGCCACCAGTCTTGGGATGACCATGGGTGATGCTACCACAACCTCCTCACATGGCAGCTGATGGCACACACAGCACCAGACCGGGGACAGAAGCATGCCCTGTGGGTTCATGTTCTGAGCAGAACTAAATACCAGCCTTAGGATGTGGTCTTCTTCACTATACTTCCCCCAAACAGGGCTATAGTCCTCTCTTAAATTACCCCACCTGATTCTCCAATTGAACATTTTACATATGGGTGTTTTGATTTCATAGGTGGTATTTCAGATACTTAGTCTTTATATTTTAGCCAGAAAAAGAGTGTTAAAGCAGTTCAGTTAGCCGTGCTGTTTCTTTTGCAGCTGTAAAAACTCATACCAATTGCCTGACAGAACTGCGTTCCCATCCATTTTCGGAGAACGCAGATAACAAAACATGCATACTTTGACAAACGTGTCAGACAATATATAGTCCTGCTTACAGAAACATTCCCAAAGCCACGGTGACAAAGCAGCTTGAGTTCAAGTCATGACAGCAGTGCAGATGTTTTCATTCAGAAGGGGGAAAGAAACTCATCTGGATGCTACGTTTTGACACTTGAATACCCTGTGAGCAATAGAATGAAGGAGCAGCAGATCTGCGGTCAACAGAAAGGAATTCTCTCCGCCTAAGGGATAGTTATCACATCAGCCTCAGCACTGCTGTAACCCATCTCAGCCATCTGCAGCAGCCACAGCCCACCAGTTACCCATGGCCAACCTCTACACAGTTTGTTCACTCATGTTGCTCCACAGGGGTGTTACACTTCCCACAGCCCTATCAGTAACTTCCATAAGAGAGGGGAAGAAAAAGAGGAAGTGTAAAGCAGCAGCATTACCTTAAGCTGCTTGTGACCCAGTTCTTATAGGAGGTACTGGCATTCCTACCCTAGCAATACTCCACCTGCAGAGATAACAGTGACAGAGCATGCAATAAACATGTTGCTCATGTTGCTACGGCAAATGCAAAGCAAGTAGGCTTCTTCAGATCCTATTATTCAGGAAAAAACACCCTACCTCATCATACACTGATGTCCATACAACATAGCTTTCAAGTTCAAACTAGCATAGGATATTCAGTTTTTTCTTTAGTACAGGATACAAACAAATGCCAGTCCTTCTCATCTACTCCACCTACCACTAGACTGACGTCATTAGGTAGTTGTGTGTCCCTGATGTATCTTTAATAGCCTATTTCCTGCTACAGAGTTCACCAGAAAGGAGGCTCACCTCATGGCCCTTGCCCAAAGAGCTTCTGGCCCACCCAGTGCCTGTGGACTTCTCCACACCTCAAGCCTGCAGTAGCCAGGGCACATGAACTGCTCTCACAGCCCACCTCAACAAATGCATTCCCAGCTGCAAGTTATCCTCAGGTCACCTGCACTTGCAAAACACAGGCTCTTCTGTGCTCCTCATTTGTGCATGCTCCTCCACAGATGCTTTGCAAATACCTAGACTACATACCTAGAGAAAAGCACCTGAGGCAGAAAGTCAGCTTTGCATAGCCTTCTCAGGTAGTCCTGCTGCACACAGCTGCAAGCAATGCTCCTAAACAGCTGATTCAGGTCCACCTTCACACTACCAGATGGCTAGAGCTGGGCAAACTTGATCAGGCTGTGCAACACAGCCTGGAGGGGAGACGAGGCTATGTGAGCTGGGACAGTTCTTCTTCCCTCAAGCCCTGATCACAGAAGCCTCCATTTTCTCAAGTGCTTCCTCAGGTAAGGAAGGCAAAAGCCCTCAGTGGCACACACACTCTGGCTCAGTAGCTTCCAGGCGCAACACCAAGATCCAGTATTTACCCTCATCTTCAGAGTTCCCAAAGAAAATGGGGCTGCCTCTGCATCTGGCAACCCCAACCTCACAGCCAGCCACGAACCGGTTTTCTAGCAGAGAAGCCCACTAGTGGCCTACTTGAACTTAGAGCAGAGTTTGTCAGAGATTCATTCAGGCTTGGCCCATTTCACAAAACACACTGAGGTTTGCCCAGTGCACAACTCTGTGCTAGAAGAAAGCAACAGAAGGGACACAATTCCCTGCTAACACCTCCAGTCTCCCCCCCTCACTACCCAGTGCATCACTTTCATGAAACATGGATGTTATCACTGATACACCAAAGAACTGTTAGTTTGTGAGAAGAGTGACTGATACAATGTGATCCAATGGCAAAGTGCAGAAGACTTTTTGCATTCAAGACAACCACCAACCATATTAACTGCAGATATAATGAAGGCCAACTTGCCTGTTACTACGCAATTCCCATGATGGAAAGCAAAAGCAGAAAATACGTCAATGCAGCTAGTAGGACTAATTTTTGCCATCAACAGTACTTGCTCATCTCAGAACATAGGTCTTATGCCCCTCCCTTCCTTCACTACCAAGTTAGAGGCAGTCACCTTTTTTGCACCTGATGTAATGTCATTTTCCAAACTGCATGTGTTTTTCCGTGGGCTCTCAACAAACATCCCTACTTGCTGAGGCAAAACCAGTCTTGCTTCCCAACATGTTCCAGCAATCCCATCTTCACTTACATAAACATGTACATAACAGTCTATCGGTCCCTGTGGGGACAGGGAGAAAAGGAGGGAGGTGTCTGGAAGCACTGACCACAATTCTAACCAAAGGAACAGAAGGGGTTGTAGAGGTCAAGCTGAGAAGTGCAAGCAGCCCACATTTCTTTGAGGAAACGTGCTCCTTAGTGGAGCAACCATGTGTGCAATTGGCCAACATCTCAGTCTTTGCCTGTGACCATCCCACAATCTCTTATGGGTGCGGAAGGGAAAGAATAGAGAAGGAAGCTTCACCCTGCCTCTGGCCAACCCATCATTGCTTGATGCCTGCTGATGGATAACAGCCTTCTTCTATCATCAAACAACGTGTGTCCCATAAGTGTAATCCCCAGGGCATCAACTCCACCCCTAAAATGGGAAAACAAAAAAAAAAAAGATTTTTTTTTTTTTTACTGAACTCAAAGCCCTTGTCTGTGTTGGCACAGGAAGTCCTGAAACTGTTGACAGCAGGAAAAGATGACTGATGAACAAGGACGACACCTCTCTCAAGGCTTCTGTCAGCCTCAGCAGCCCAAGTTGCTGCCATGAGAAGAGGTGGGATGTTTTGAATATGGCACCTTTGCTCCAACACAAAGGACTCTTCAAACTCTGCCAGCTGCACCCTATATACACCTTAGCACATGGACTGGTAGTGCTGAGGCACACCACAAACAGCTTCCACGACAGCTTTTCCACCCTGAATTTGAACAAATGCAATCTTGATGTCCAATATTCAGCCTACAAAAAGGTATGTCCTACTTTCCTTAAGAGCAACACTGCCCCATGCTGGGGTCAGCACACACAGAAATATCACAGCTTTAGTCTGTTTAGGCATGCCTGTCTGGTTGCTTCAAAAGGGAACAGGGCAGTGAGAAAAGTTGCCTCCCAAATCATGAAATTCAGCTTTCAGCAAGATAACATCAAAAGGTGATGAAAGCAAAGAGGCAGCAAGGTTACCTGCAGATAGCTGCAACAGCCTGCAGTAGACAGCTAGCTTAAGTTGCTGCCTTCACAGCACAGAAGCACAGGCCTTTACTTGAAGTAGTTTTCCTATCTTTGTTGTTCCCCCCTCCTCCAAGGATCTGTTTGAATCAAATCAACGCTCTGGAACAAAATGAACCAGCACACACACAGTGTAAGACAAGAGAGGAAGATGCCACAAACAAAATCAATGCGAGTTTAACAACAAGCTGAATCTTGAAAAGGATTTTTAAAAGCTCAAATGAGTTGAATTTGTTCCTTCCTGTTGCTAAAGCCACAGCATAAAGTCTGGTCAAGTAATCACACCACACTGCCACTGAGACCACCCTCACAGTTAGTACTGTATGACGTAAATAAAGGATTTTTAATTATAAAAGAAAGTGACTCATTAACTAGAAACAAATCAGTCCTTTCCCCAAGCCAAAGTTGATCTTATTTGCCCTTCTTCATTTTCGCAGTCTTCTCTCTCCGCTTCTTCACATGCTTTGGGACTTTGTTTTTTCTCTTTTCTCTTTGGGCTTCTTTAACCATCTTTTTCCTCTCCTATGAAGAACCAAAACACCATTCATTCAAAGCCAGCAGGAATAGGAGGTTTGAGCAGGCCTATCAATCTAAGTTAATTAATACATCACATCAAAAATGCAGGTCTAATGAAAATAACTTTGAGAGGGAGAGAGGAAAGGAGAAAGGAAGCATAATATGAGGGTAGAATTGCACACTGGTAATGACAGTACAAAATTCAAACTAGTTAAAACCTGACTTTCATGCAGCCTTTGAAGAAAAGCAACAAGATGCACTCATGCTATTTATAGCAAAGATTCCAATAGAAAGCCTGATGCAAGTTTTCTGCTACCCCTAGGGGCTACGGTAGGATGTGTTTTTACTCAAACAAAAATACTGATCTAGTAACTGCTGGTAACTCAGAGCAATCCAATCATCATCAGGATTGGCTAGAAAGGGTGCTACGTGACTGCAGTACACTGGAATTCCTGCTAGACAGTAAAGACTTATCCATAAGGCTGAGAAGTGACCAAGACCTCCCTGCTTCAGATCTGAAAGGTAGCAGCTTTAGATTAGTACAAAAAGCATCTAAAAGAGCACTGCCATTTTATTTCATGGATTTGAAACCCATTATCTTTCCTAAGGGAGAAAAGAAAAAAATATAAACAGACCCAGAAATCTAACAAACCCCCACAACTCTAATACCTTAAGCCTAGCAAGTTTCATCTTTCTTTTGCACAGCACCTAAAAAGCTGCCGTCAGGCTCTCACCCATGGGGGTGACTCCACAGAAAAGCATCACAAGAACTAAGGATATTTGTTCTGTAGTTTGGAAAACAAAACCTGAGAAACACGTTATTTCCCTCACACATCTGCTTTCAGTCTTCTCCCTGCAGCAGTGCTTGTCAGCCTGTACCAACAATATGACAAAAGCCACTGTAGTACAGACATTGTCACCAAGTCTCCAGCTGCAAGCATCAGGTGGTCTCAGTTTCCTGGACAAAGGGTGGTTCACCAGGAGCCACATCCACCAACCTGCACAGCAAAGCTGGAAGGTTAGCCAGAGGGACTGAAGATCTGCCCAGGTTTCACTAAGCTCTGCTTTGCATACCCTAAAGCTCTCTGCAGAGATCTCTCTTCTAGCTTTGTTTAGGCTATAGAATGCTATGGTATAATGTTCCTCTTGACAAAAACATCATTAATAAAGCATCCATAATGAAATTTGCTTCCTCTGCTCTTGCTCTTCAGAGAGGAAAAAGCTCACAGCTTGTTTCAGACTACAAGTAGGACAAACGAGGTGTAGATTTTTCCTGTCATGGGGGCAGATGTCAAAAACTGTACATTTTTTTCCTACAACTGACCTTTTTATCCATAGTAGCTACAGCAGGAAGATCTTTGGGATGCCGAAATTCTTTACAGCTTGACTCAGAGTCCTCTGAGCTGCCACCATCATCATCAGAGCCTGTTTCTGACTCATCCGTCTTCTTCTCTAGAAGTGCAGGAATCTGCAAGATGTATCAAGAGGGAGTTTATCTCAAACCCAAACTCTGGAGCCTAGGAGTAAAATATATACACACATATATTGAAAAAAAATATATCTATAATCTTCTACAAAGAAACCCTTGAGCAAACTTGTGTCATTTCCTCTATTTCTACAGCTATCATTGAGTCTCAAGAAGAATCAAAAAGAGGTTAATTCAAACTAAGAATATCTAAAATATACAACACAGGAACTTTAAGGTTAGGGCTCACAGCACAGATGTATTGACACTCCCAAACTGATTTCCTTAAGTTATACACTATTTGCTAACACAGATGAAAGACAATTTTTAATTATAGTTGGATCATACCAAAATCTACCTTGGGGCCACTGCAGATATGCTTTAGTGCAAACACAAACATCTACACTGCAAAACACACTTACTCTTAAACAACACTAGAAACTGGGCTGCAGCCTGATCCCTTCCCTGATTTTTATTTCCATTTAGTCTACACCACTGCCACATAACGGGCAGAAACAGCCACTCCATAGACAAAAGGCTTGTTCCGTGGTCTCAGCTGCAAGATGAGGCATTCCCTGTATTCCTTTAAGTATTTTTATGAAAATGGGTACAATGAAGGATTTCAAAGAGGCCCTCTCACCTTCTGAACGCCAGACAAATCCTTCTTCAATCCTGTCACGGTCTGGTAGAGAATCTACATTCAGAGACACAGAAAAAAAATTATTTTACCAAAATGCAAGCCTTACATCTTTCTACCCAAGGAAAATGAGTCTCAAAAGATAGCAGTGCAAGCATCAGTACTAACCAGATAATTGGAAGTATGACACTAGATTCAGTATTCTACACCATACGGACACACTCACATTATCTTGCTGAACACACAATGCCAAATCCTCTTCTTTCAATTTCATCATTATATCCACATCTCTCTCATAGTTTTTAACTTCAGTCAAAGTTCGAGGTATGTAAGCCTTCTTGAACACCTAGGAAAACAAAGGGAAAACAGATTCAGTCATTTATATAGTTTCATGATGTTCTTCCATACTAATTAAGCATCACTAAAGGAATAATCACAAGGGATTTCATAGCTTAGAGAAGCTCAGAACAAACAGGAAGTCACACACCACATTTTGAACTGCAGGTTATAAGTATTTATTTTGCTGGAACAGATTCTTCACATGCAACCTACAAACCATTGCAGCTCATGGTTAACAAGGCCCCTATGTTAGTACCATTACTAGCAGCCACATAGGAACTTCTCCAATCCTCCCAACTTCCTCTCAACCAATTTGAGTTTCATATTCTAAGAATTTTCCCCAATGTTTTTACTGTTATGTTTGCAAAGCTCTCAGGAGGCAATTCCATTAAAACATGCTGATACAACTTAATGTCTTTATGCAATAGTTCCTGCTTCAACATAGACTCCAACTCAAAAAGGAGTTACAGTACCATACTGGTGCAGGACTAACTGCAGCATCGACAACACATTAAAATTTGTCAGGCTATCGTTTTCAGAGCATCCTGCAACAAACTGAAGTATTTTACTTTTCTCTTCCACAGTATCAATTCAATCCTAGAACAAACTAAGCACACTTAACTGCTTAACTACTAGATTAAGTCTTGTGCAGACAGCACAGACCCTGTCTCTAAATCATCTGTTCTTCTGAGAGGTGGTACAAGCTAGTTGAGCTAAACTGAGAACTCTGAGAGTGAACTTGAACTTTGCTATTACTTAACCGTCTCTTACAGGACAGTACATTCACACGTGCAAAGGGATAAACTGTTTGCTAAAAAGCACTTATAATAAAAAACACTAACATCTGACCAGCTAATTCAAAAGGAGTTGTATGCTCAAGAGATCTCTGGAAATGAAAACCTTTAACCGGCCAATTTTGAACCAGAAGCAGTCAGTAAAACCTACAGAGCCCCAAGAGAAAATGTCTTTGGTATATCAAGCAACACAGACTCCAATATTAAATGCTGGGTGAACTAGAACAAAGAGGTTCTTGCTGATATAAGCTCTGCCCAACACTAAGGTGTTGCTTTATTTGTGTGTGGTGTGATTTTTTGGTTTTTAAACTCTTCTCAGTGGACAGGCAAGATTAAAAAAACAAATTAAGATTGTTTCATCTTCACATCATCTTCACATCAAGATTTGCCAGAACATTAGCAGTTTTCAAACATACCAGCAGAAAAGATGTAAGATGGCTTCTGCTGTATGTAAAAGCAAGGGAGGGAAATAGTATGTGGAAGAACTGAAGTAGACTGGGAACAAGGGCAGACAGGCAATTTGGTCAATGCATGCATCTGAATATGATGTGAATTCTCCTGGTCTGTGTATCAGCAGTCCGAAAACACTGACACAACCAGACTTCTACTTAGCTGGGTTTTATTTGTTTTTAAACCAAACCTGAAGTGGAAGATTCATCAAGGGACCTAGCTACAAGCAAACACACCAGTTTAGATAACTGAGTATTTGTTTTTTAGCACATGATCAATGTCACTTAAGCTTTTATACACTACATCCCTCAATCCTTCATATCTCAACTAGTTCAGGACATATCAGCATCACAGTGTTTTGTTTATCAACGGTGCATTTTGCCAAATAAAACAGAACAGTCTTCACTGTTCAGAAGAGGACAGGCTAATTTTGATTTCATAGCAGGAACAGAAATCCTCACTTCCTCATCCACTTTATCTTGGCTGGATCTCTCCTCCTCTGTTCTTTTTGATGCTATTTCCATTGCCTACAGAAATACAAAACAATACAGTTATCACTCTTTAGAATCGCATCGTTTAATCCAACTAACCATTCCCATCTGTATGTATTTCTGCCCGCACTTCGGTCTCACTCACAAAACTTCCCCATAGCAATGCCTCGAGCGACACCTAATGGTAACCAACGTTGCTGCAAGTACACGTACAACCGCAGATCTGCTTTATTAACGGGGCATCCACAGCCTCCTTGGGCAACCTGTTCCAGTGCATCACCACCCTCTGTGTGAAAAACTTCCTCCTAATATCCAACCTAAGCCTCCCCTGTCTCAGTTTAAAGCCATTTAAAAAACCATTCCCCCCCAGTGACGTTGCTCGAGTCACCCCCTTCTCCACTCAGCCCACCCTGCAAACATCCAGCATCTCATTTACCAGCCAACTTCAACAGCAGGATACAGGGCACACAAAGCGAAGGGGTCTGAACTAGTTCTGAGTTTATCATTCAAGTCTACCTACATGAGCAACAATGCCACGTGGCCTTACCTTTGACAGATAGTCATCAATGTTCTCACTTGTGATAGAAGGATCAGTAATAAACTCAAACAGTTCCCTCACAGTCATCACTGCAACATTGTGCTTTTGGAAAAAGCCTATCAGCAATCAAGGGCAGAGACAAAAAACTGTAAGTGTTGTGCAATACATGCAGCAGTGATAGTTACAACAACATAACAGCATAATTTTCCCAAAGTGATAAATACTGGAAGAAACAAAGTGAGCAACTGTTAAGTCAAATCAACTTCAGTAGGAACCATGCTGAATAGAGCAGGGGATGAAGAGAAGGAGGTAAACAATTTGAGATAAAAGTAAATAGTTGCAGTGGCTGAGATGAAAAATGTATTTCAAATAAGGAAAGCAGACCTCAAACTTCTGTCAAAGAGCATCTGAAATAGCCACTGAAACAGTACAGCCTGCTTATAATCCACCTGAATGGAAGAACACATGGGACACATGAACATATCGGAATTTTTCTGTTACCATGCTCAGACTTGCTTTCTTGAGGCAAGCATAAATGATTTTGGAGGTTTTGCTTCAGTACTGAAAAACAGCAGTGAAACACACTAAGGACTACTTAGTAATTGCTCCCTACTAACAATCTTAGAAGATATCTCCCCCATGAGAAATTAATCATAGAACAAACAACAAAAAAAATTAGTTTGGTGGCAGCTCTCCGTGCTCATGGAACCACAAGTCTTAGCAATGCCCACAGCTAGAAGGTGTCTTTTACAGCCTCTGTACAACTGCACAGAGAAAGCTGCAGTGGCAGAAAAGAAAAACAACCAAGAACACTGCAAGTCACTGTGGCAATGGCATTTAAAGAAAACAAGCCAAAAAAGCATTAAAAAAAGAGCAAGGGTGCAAATATTTGAGTCAGAAGGGAGTAATGGAGAGGGCAAAGAAGAAAGGAAGAAAAAGGAACAATTAACATACTGAGTATTGAGAAATACACAGCAAAGCGTACACAATTTCTTCAGACTTTCAGATGTCTCTGTACAATTGGAAAAATCATAGTAAAGAAAGGGGGGAAGGAAAAATCAGCCTGCTGTGACAGATTTCATGTTCTTGGGCAGAAACACAGACTACCAGAACATCTTTTTCTCTTGCACAACATAAGTACACTCCTATGAACTCTTTTTTTTTTTTTTAGCCACAAATATTATCGTAAGGTACCCTGTTAATCAAAAGTACTACAAGTCTACAACCTCTAATAAATTAGTCTATGCCTTTACCTTCTAATCTGACCCGACAAAAAAAGGAAAGGAACTTTGTGATACAACTCTTGCCAATTGAGGAATTCCAGCTGTGGATTACACACTCACAGAAGGACACAGATCAGTATGCCTGCACAATCTTTCAAATGTGAGGGAAGTTAAGATCAGTGCTGCTGCAGACTAGGACTCTGACATCTTCTTTCTCTTGTAAATCTGAGATGCAGATGATTTCTAGCAAAATAGGCTGCACTGCCTGCTGAACTTGGCATAGAAGACAGCACCCTGAACAACCCACGAGAACCCAGGAAGGAGAGCAGGCAGCTTCTACAACCAGAGTTGTATATAACTCAAAGAATGGAAGAAAGAATACAGTTCACCTTCTTAAAAACAAACACACTTAAAGAAAACACTGTCAAAATCACCTATCAGAACAAGCACACAAGAGCAGCCTGCTCACCATTAACATTGGCACAATCCTTTCGTAGAAACTCCAGTGCATGCGGGTGGTCATGCTCCACTGCCTGGGAGACATCAATGATGTACACATCCCCACTGTGGTACCTGTGGACAAGCAAGGCTGCACTGAATCCAGCACTCTTACATGGCAGATTATGGAGGGACAGGGAACAAAGCCTGTTTCAATCTTATGAGCCAGCAAACACACTCAATGTATTTCTCAAGCATGCATCTTACATACTAGAGCCAGAGCGGTGTGAGGTTGGGTTAAAAGCTACATAATTGATAAATTGATTAACAGTCACAAAAAGGACTCCACCCTCCCTCACAGGCAGGTTAGTGCTCTCTAAATTTATGCAAAGATGCTGCCAACACATACATTTCAGATGTCACAATTCAAAGGTTAAAAACATACAGCATATTGAATTCACTGAGATCTGCATGAACAAGTCTGGCATCTTGGTACATTCTTCTCATGTACTGGATGATCTGCAGGTACAGCTCCCGGACTTTTGAGTCAGATAACTGAGCATTCTTCAGCAGAGGAGCAGGCCTTAAAATTGCAACAGAAATAATAGAAAGTGAGTACTTTTCTTCTTCTTCATCACAGCCACCAATGTTAATTGCTGTACCTGATCCTTTCACTCCATATCAAGCAAATTAGCATGAAAGGCAGCAAAGCTTGATACATGCTTGCCAAAGATACCGTAGCTCTGCTTCCAATATAAACTAAGAAATCAGGCTATGCTACTGTTTGCTCTACAAAATGATAATCTATCTTCAGGTGAAATTAGGAAACCTCTCTAGCCCTTGTTCTCTGCTTAGAATTGTTCCAGAATCATGCAGACTTTCTGCTGTGGTAGCTGGCAAAATCTGGGTACTCTACAGGTGGCACACACACATAAGAGCAACATGTTAAATTCAGAGGCCTAAAGAAATAGTTAAAAACAAACCAATGCTTTATGTACAAATCTTTGTGGAAAGCTACTAGTAAGAAGAACCATTTCAATTTTCGAAGGATACATACCTATCTCCTTTACCAATAAAGCCCATGAGAAGCACATGACTTCTTAGCATAATTGGCTCTGGGCAAGGTATTTGTGCTGTACTCAACCTGCAATACAGGAACAAAATCATAAAAAAAAAAAAAAAAAAAAGATAAATACAAACTAACTCTACTATTTGCATTGCAATAGCACCTACAGCAGCTCTGCTGCTTTAACCATCAGACACAATAAGAACTCTTCGGCTCAAGGAACTTGTAGATACAAAGACTGAAAATTGAATGCAAAAAAAACCCCACAAGCTTTCTGCACTGATCCTTCTCTAAGCACCCTGGGTCAGACAGAATATTTGCACTGTTAATCTAGGATTAACCTGTATTACACAGTGTGCTGTTACTCAGCAGCAGCTGTTTCTAGCTCCTCCTCTCTTTTCAGTCAAGTCAGTGTACACATCAAAGAGCTCAGAGCACAAAGCCAGAGAGAGAAGTATCTTTATTTCATTTAACATGAGCCAGCAGTGTGCTCTTGCAGCTCAGAAAGCAAATGGTATCCTGGGCTCCATCAGAAGAGGAGCGGCCAGCAGGGACAGGGAGGTGATTGTCCCTCTCTACACTGCTCTTGTGAGGCCCCATCTGGAGTGCTGTGCCCAGGTCTGGAGCCCCCATTACAAGACAGACAGGGAGCTGTTGGAGAGGGTCCAGAGGAGAGCCACGAAGATGATCAGGGGACTGCAGCACCTCCCCTACAGAGACAGAGTGAGGGAGCTGGGCTTGTTCAGCCTGGGGAAAAGAAGGCTGCGGGGTGACCTCATTGCAGCCTTTCAGTACCTAAAGGGAGCCTACAAACAAACAGGAGGAGAGTCAACTCTTTACAAGGGTAGATAACAGCAGGACAAGGGGAAATGGTTTTAAACTGAAAGAGGGAAGATTTAGGTTGGATGTCAGGGGGAAGTTCTTTACTATGAGTAGTGAGGTGCTGGAACAGCTGCCCAGAGAGGCTGTGGATGCCCCATCCCTGGAGGTGTTCAGGGCTGGGTTGGATGGGGCCCTGGGCAGCCTGGTCTGGTATTAAATGTGGAGATTGGTGGCCCTGCCTGTGGCAG